AAATGTGTTTGAGAAGTTCAAATAATATTTATGTTAAAAAGCTACCGCTTAGATTTGTAAGCATTGTTGTTTATTTTAGTAAATGGTGAATCATTATTAAATATTTACAGGGGTGTAGTGACATTATTCTGGATGCTGTTCATGAAAAACTGGCTAAACTAGCAACCGTCTCCTTACTTTGCCTCCTAATACAGGTACAGTATTTTACATTCTTATTTCAGTAATAAGTATTTCTGAGTAGGCCTACTCGCGTTAATCTTTCTTTGAAATTATAATAATATCCTGAACTCTCCACATTTGATTAGCCGCGATGCCGTGAGAATGTTATGAAGTCTACAATCACTCGCTGTATCCAGCGGTGGATCCAGAACATATCAATTTGTTTCGTACACCATACCTCCATGGGTACACTAACTGCAATACGCACCTCCATGAAAAATCACCCTATCTCTTTACCGTTAGCGCTTCTTCAAAAACATTATTACACTATTTTTACTACAAAAACCGTAACTCAAAATCTAGAGGTCGGATAAATTAGGTTGAAACGGTTTATAGAAGGCTGAATATAGCTATTACAAACAATTCACAAAAATATTTTTTTTGAAATTATTTTGAACCGTTATTTTTGAATTGAATTACGAAAATACGAGCCATATTAGTGTGTTTTAGCGTGATTTGAGCTGGCTTATGATGAGTAGTTTCTCTACAACGTTATAAATTTGCCTACACCCAGCTTAGGTTGAAGCGGAAAATAAATATGCTTGATTGTAGACTTATATTTTTACGGTGTTATGCATAGATTTGGAATGTATTTTTAATAGTGTTCACTAATGATTGATCGTTTAAAAAGTGCATTTTCATACACCCTTTTCGGATAATGAAATCGTCCAAACACTGCGTTGTGCAGGGCTCCCTATCTTCTCATTTTTGCCTTTCTATAGCTCCCGCGGCAGTAAAAGATGTTTTGTTACGTGGATAAAACAGTCAAATTGATATGATTTTCCGACAAAGGGTCCGACATGTCCGACAGTGGGGTCGGAACCAAGAGGCTGACAAAAGCCTTGATCAGGGACCAGGAATAAAACGTCCTGAAAAGGGTTCGTGGGCAGAGTTTTTATGGCTTAGTGTGGCCGGCCCAAAATTGTGCTTTTTAGACCACAATATTAGAGGCTGGCAATAAAAATAACGTTTTTTAAAGGCCAATTAATATTTTTGGTCAGACGACCTCGTCGTGGAGTCGAGCACAGGGGGTTCAAGCCTGCCCGACGTGATGGGATGCCCTCCCTGCTCTCCCATTTTGTTTTTCTAATACACGAAGAGTTATATCACACCAGTTAACCCGGAGCTCCAATCCGAAATTTTATAAGGTTGGCTTAGAGTTTGTTGGTAGGGCCTACACTTGTAATGATTATAGTAGATATGCACGTCAACGTATTTATTTGATAAACGTTTTGAAGATATTTTATATGTTTATATTTCAATGATATAATAGCATTTATATTTAAAACTTTGTACAAATCAGGTGAAAATTTATATAACTGGAGCGAAGGCCTACTTGGTCGAAATTTCATCGCCATACAAACTGAATGATTTTTTGGACTTTTTCTTTAGGTCCTATTTATTTATGTTATGATTCTTCGAAAATTCCTTATTTATTTCCATTATTTTGTATTTCCTCAGATCGTTTTGGTGTTGTTTGTTTTGTGTTGGTACTATATTCTCTTCCGTAACAAAACAGTCCACTATTGCTGTTCCTGCTGTGTCTATGAAATGGTCGAAATTGAAGACGATGAAAAAAATTGTTCAGCTTAAACAGACTCAGTATAAATAAATAATTCATGATTATGTAAATAGACCTGTCATATTTTAAACGAGTATATCAGTCGTTAGATTTCTATTAGTTTGTATATGAAATATGTTTATTTAGTACATGTAATATAATATTCACAAAGCATGTCAATTAAAATTACTAATGCGCGGGCATAAACTATACTTAGCGCCCTCTAGAGTCGCTGAACTTTCAGTAAGTTTTAGATCCCTGCCATTTTGTTTAGGGTTCAGCT